GATGTTCTAAGAGTGGAATCGGTTTGGTTAAGGAAAGGAAGGAATATATATATTAGTAGGTCCGTCAAATGGGATTCCAGTGCGTGGGGAGGGGAGGGGTAGGATACCGTATCTATGAGAACCTGGTGTTCGGGGTACCCAGTCTCACTTGTTATAGGAAAAACACAGAACATGAAATGGGCGTTAATGGTGATCATTTTTTTGTATTTATTTTTTTTTTCAACAATGTTTAAAGAAGGTAACCCTTTCAACTTCCCCAAGGGAAGGCTGGTGTTTAGGGGCCCTCTTTAATATTACAATACAACATCATACAATAAGTCACCATTTAAACTCAAAATAATAAAGTAGACCTATATGAATATATATATGAATGAATAAAATGAAATAAATAACATAAATAATTAAATAATAAATTAATAAAGTATAAATAAAATTAGATAATGTTATTAAAAATGCAATCAATTCCTAATAAGCATATATAAACATGGATAAAATAATAACAAATAAAGATTAAATTTATCAAAAGAGTGTATACAACTTATTTAATTAGGTACAATTTATCGATTATATAATTTGAAAATAATCTCTACTCCGTCTTTAATATACAATTTAATTAACGGGGTGAAGTGGTAGAGGTGATCAACTCGAAAAAGTTTGTGGTGGGTGTGGGGGGGGGGTGATTTTGTCGTTTGCAGTCCTGCCATGTACAGCATTTAAAACTGGACTCGATTGAACATGACTGTAGCTCTATTCTATCTAATCATATTGAGACATTGCGCTCTGCTACATTACGTAATAATCATAAAAGGCCTACTACCACACCCTCACGAAGGATGTTTGTTATGCTTATAATAGAACATGTACCATAAGCCATCCATATCGATTGGAAGTGTTGACACAGGAGGCATACGCATCAATTATTATTATTATCAAAACATCATCATAATTATTAGTTAATGCAATATCTCGGTTGATTAATTCTATGTATGCATCCTAAATTAATTCTTTTCTGTATACAAGTGTCTCGACCTTTCGATTAAGTTCTCTGCAATCGTCATCAAAACATTCGATGCTAATGAAGTGACACAATGGAATCGTTCAGATAGAACACAACTAACCAAAAAGTCTTCTTTATATCGTACACAGAGAACTCTGTCGACTAACTGGTGGTAGTCACTGTGTGTGTGCTGAAACGTGGAGATCTCGCTGCTCTCTCCTTCTATAGGGCTGAAAAGCAACTTACGATAGCGCACCGTCTTTCGTATATGAACTCAGTACACTCAGGGCCACCGAGGGTGGGGGGGCAGGGGCAAGATCCACGGGGACCAAGCTTACCTGGACCCATATTTTTTCTCAAAAATAATAATTACTATCATGGGCCCTCAATAATGGCATAGGTCCCCTAATAATGGGCCCCTCCAGATTGACACGGCCCCCTGAAACATGCTTGTTGCGCCTTCGGCGCAATCTTTCTCGCACTTCGCGCTCGTAACTGGGGGCCCACAACAATCTTTGCCCCTGTTACGGAGTTTCCCCTCTTGGTGGCACTGAGTACACTCTTCGGGAAAAGAGTAGAGCCGGAATTGTCTCCCAGTGTACTGCCCCATTTACCACCAAAATGGCCTCACTGGAAAAAAAGTCTTCGGACTTAATGGGCTATCCTTGGTGTGATTCACACCAAAAATACTCCAATCCTATCCTATCCTATCCTATCCTAGAGGACGAGAAGAAACTTTATTATTTGGTTAATAATCGTACTTTAGCTCATCAATAATCATGATAAATGTGCTGGTGAGTGGAAAATCAGTTAGGCCCAATTTGTTCTTACTTGTTTTAAAAGACAGAAAAACAATATTATGTCGATATAAAATGTATGCCTACTTCCCGATGCAAGATATAAACGAAAACTCCAATGTTGCGCAACCCATTAAAATATTATGATTATTACACGGAAAAAGAAAAACGAAAGCAAAAGTAAAGAATAAAAACAATTGAGAATCTTGTGATACTTTGGTCACTGTTGATGATTTTCAAATTTAAAGAATATCAAAGGAAATTAAATAAACAAAATGTAGGCCTATGGCCAGTGTGTATGTGTCTGGGGCCTAAATTATATACAAAATTATGATAATTAATAATATACTGACCAAAACTCTATACCATGACTTGTTCTTAAGACTAAAAACAGTTGGCGTCTATAGCCGCATTGGTTCATAGGTCTATAACATAAGTTGACAATGAACAGTTTCCTCTGTATGTTTCTTTAAAAATACATAACAAAATGTTCTACATTCATGGTATAGGTGGTGCATATGTGGGGTTGAATATAAGCCTATTGATGCTACAGTAGAACCCCTAGAAGGGGAACATTTTCGGAACCAAAGAAGGTGTTCCTTTAAGGGGTGCACTTTTATAAGTGTGTCCCCTGAATAGAGATTGGCCATTGGGCCGAAAAAAAATTGTGTTAGGCACGTTTAGAGAAAATCCAACAAAAATTGGTAGGCCGGTAAGAAAAGTTTTTTTTTCTTTCTTTCATTTCCACCTCCAAAATAATGTCTATTAAATAGGGGTGTCTCCTTTAATAGTGTGTTCTAAAAGAGAGAATCTACGCCTATGTAGGCTTGTTTGTTATTTTAAATGAATACAAATTTATCATTACAATTATGTACCAAACAGCTTGTTTATCAAATGCCTGCTCCTTTCTAGATTCTTACCTCTTAAAAAATGCTTCAATTCTATATATTCTGCAACTTCATAGCATAGACTTGAAATTAAAGAAGTTCAGATTTCGACGGTCCTCAAAATTCTTGGATTTTTAGTAGTAATAATTATATCAAAACTCCTCAATGAGACGGTGCATGTACAGTCGCAGACAACCACATGTGTGGTTTTATGTAGGAATTGGCGTTGCAACAAGTTCATACACTGGCTGACTGGACTGCAGAAAATTTAGGCCTAATTTAATTAGATCCGATATAAGTGATAGTAGATCCCGATGAGTCCTTCCCAACGATGTGTCTAGGTCTACGTTGTCGTTCGTCAAGTTGATGGCTCGACACTAAATGACGGCCAACCCTCCCCGTCAACAGTAATACCTTTAAGGGTGAGTAGCCTATTCATGTACTTAATTCATAGCGGTTACGGACAATAGTTCTATATATAAAGGTGTTTATGTCTTTGATGCAGCGCGACCCAATCGCCACGCTTCTCTTGTCAGTCACGTACCTTCGGTTCCACTAATCAACGCGTAAAGGGCCCAATTAAAAATGCCTTTGTATCAATTGGAAACCAATTGTGAAAATGACTTGTCTTGGGATGGCTCTAATTTTAACAATAATATGCGATGAGATATATCTTGAAAATTTTCATAGAACGAATAATTACGAGATGTTGACAGCTGGACGGACGATTGAATTGCTTCAAAAGACTGGGCCCACCGATTAACATAAACCAATGCACTATAAGTTAACGGAAAAACGAGATAATCCGTAGCCACTTAAATAGCTACCCCAATATAACAAAAACAGGGGTCACCCGACAGGGAGTCAGATATGTCAAATGGAGGTGGAGGATGGCTCCGACGACAGCGTAAGTGAAAGTGGGTGTGGTCGGGCGTCGCTCAAAATCTCAAGTGGTAAAGGGGCAAAGCTATGACAGTTTAGGGGCATTTTTAATCGATTCTAGAGTCTTAGATATTTTTTTTCTCCTCGGCGAATTATTGTTCTGCAGGGGCGGATTTAGGGGGGCCGGCCCGGCCCCGGCCCCACCTCTTGGGAGGTAAAAAAAAGAAAAAAAAAAAGAAAAAAAGAAAGAAAAAGAAAAAAAAAGGATAGCCCACAACG